CCTCGAGGCACGGAGTGGAGTGTTCCCCAAGTCCTCGAGATTTCTCTGTACTCTTGGTGGCATTTCATTGTTGGCAAGGAGCCCCACATCTCAAACCTTCTTGGTGTTCCCGCGTGCTCCCGGGCTTCCTCGCGTGACTTTTCCAAAGGCCCGAGGGCCCCATGATGGGCCAAGAGGGCCCCAAGAAATGTGCAAGAGGCATCCAAGGCAGACCGAAAGCGCTCCAAGACACCCAAGGCAGACCGACAGCGCTCATGAGGCGGGTTTCGGAATGGTGCTGGGGAAAAACCTCCCGAACGCGCCCCCTAACAAAAGCCTTGAGGAGCGTTATCTGGGGGGTCTGAGGGGGAACACCTCCTTCACCCAACAACGAACGAGCCTTGAGGGGACTTTTTGTGGGTACTGGGGGAAGATCTTCACGAACTCTGTTCAAAACTTGTTTTCTGGGGGGTAAGCCTCCCTAGCGCCTCCAACGACCCCCCTTGAAGAATGTTTTTTGGGGATCTGGGGAAAGGCACCCCCAAAACTTCCCTGGAGGAAGGCTTTGGGGGGCCTCCGAGAGGACCCCCCCCGCCAAATCTTTTAAAAACCAATCTTGACAGGGTTTTGGGAGGGTTCCGGGGGAAAACCATCTAACCCTCTAAAATTACGTCTTGAAGGTGGTTTTGGGGGGGTCCGGAGAAAAGCCGCCCTAATCCCTTCAGAACAGCTCTTGAGGGTTTCAAGCTCTTCTTGGGGTGGTGGTGGGAGGTTCTGGGAGAAAAACTTTAAAACCCTTTCCGGAACCCCTCTTGACGGACGTTTTGGGGGTTCAAAAACATTCCCAACCGCTCCAAGAACCTCCCTTGAGGGCTTTAGGGGGGGAGAGGGGAACAGCGCTCCTAACCCCATCAAGAACTTTCCTTGAAGGGTTTTTTTGTGGAGTTCTGGGGGGAAATCTCCGAACCACTTCCAACAGTTTTTGAAAGGGTTCCCGGGGAACGCCACTCCAAGAACTCTTCTTGAGGGGGGATTTGGGGGGATTCGGGAGGAAACTCCCTCTCACCCCCCCTTGACGAGGGTTTTCGGGGGGCTCGGGTGGAAAGCCTTCCCAACCCGTTTATGTGCTCCTCCTGAGAAGTGTTTTTTTGGAGGGTCTGGGGGAACAGCCCTTCTGACCCTCGAAAGAACTCTCGAGTGTGTTTTTTTTGAGAGGGGGGGGGGTCCAGGGTAAGAACCCCCTGCCCCCCCCCAAAAAAAATACCCTGGAAGAGGGTTTTGGAGGGTTCTGGCGGAAAAAGCCCTACCCCTCTGTAAAGGAGGGTTCTTTTTCATTTCAAGATGTGTTTTGGGACCTGCCATCCCCTTCTGTCGTTGGCCGTGTGGAACGCTGTGAAACGCGACAAGTCAGACATGCTGAAACTGGACGCTTTCCACCAGGAATGGGGCGATTTTTGCCTCTTGGGGCTATCTTCTGGACCTCGTGGGGGGCCATCTGGGGGTCTCGGGGGGCCTCGTTTGGTTCCTCTGGGGTTCTCTTGAAGCCTCTTGGGAGCCTGCTGGCGGTCTCGTGGGTCCTCTTGGGGAGGAAATCTGGGATTCTAAATTGGAGTTCCCCATCTTGGCCGTCTCTTGGGGCCCTCTTGGGCCGTCTTGGCCGCCTCTGGGCCTGTCTTGGGGCGCTGTTTGCCCGCCTTGGGACAGTTTTTGGGCAAGCTTGTGAACGCAGTGAAACGCGACAGATCCAACATGCTGAACACGTGCGTTTCCCATCTGAGATGGGACGAGATGGGACCTCCTGCGACCACGGAAGGCCGCCCGGGGCCGTCCTCGCGCAGCCTGGGAGCCGTCGGGAGCCACCCAAAAACCATCTTCGGCGGTCTCGGGCTGTGTTGGACAAGTCCAGTCGGCTTTGATAACAATTTGGGAGCCGTCGGGGCGCCCATGGATCCACTCTGGGGGCCACGGGGGCGCCCCCGGGGCTCCCGGAGCGGCCACGCCAACTGGGGGCCGTGGTCCCCAGCTCTCCCGCAGCCTACGCACACACACACACATGTATATATATATATATATATGTATATATACATATATATATATATATGTATGTATTTTTTGTGTTTATATGTAAACACATGCATATGCACACACATACACAAAGTACATATCCAGAATCATATACACACATACACATACATACACCTAAATGCACCTATATATGTGTACACACATACAGCCGTCCATACATACATCGATGCATACTTACGTGCACACACGTATATCTAAGCATATACAACTAAATTGATATATGCACATATCGAGATATATGGGTATGTTATGCTGTACTATCATACAACACAACATGCTACATCACATTGCAACACTATATGACATGACGCACCATGCTATAATGTACTAGAACTTAGACATACTATGCAATGGTATAATATATGCAAGTACCATACAGTGCCATGATATAGTATAACACAGTCTTACATCATATGATAACATATTTGCCATATGCACGATCGTAGCCTGATGTAGCAACTACGCTATGACTCAACATTATATCATACAGCAGACCCTATTGTATAACCTATTCATATCATCCATACATGCACAACTATACAAACATGGAGGAAGATCATGAGAGAGTGGGAGAGGCACCGACATCGGACGCGTGGTCCAGCCGCCGCGGCTGCTAATGCCGCTTACGCTCAACCCTCCTGGCCAAGCCGGGAGTAAAACAAGGGTCCTAACGGCTCCCTTCGCGTGCGACCAGAGGACGTACGACGGGCGCTCGGGTAGGCGACGAGCCACGAAGCAGCGCGACTGACTGGCAGCCGACTGGGGACGCGCCGGTGGCAGCGGCGCGCAACCCCGCTGATAGACAGGCGCTCGCGCTGGGTATGCCCGGCGCGGGCCCTAAAGCGACCCACGGCCTGGCTGCCAGGCAAGCGAACAGGGCTGCAGCATAGAAGGTGGGATGAGATTCGCCGCAGACTGAAAGCTGCGCGGACGGCGCCAGGGAAATGCTGGTCGCCGCAGTGACGCGAGCAGAGCCTGGGTCTGGATGACTGCGGAGCGTTGCGCCCAGCGCACGGCTTCTCAGGCGGCCTGGAGGTGCGGCCTGGAGGTGCGCGTCGGCCAGGCGGGCGCGGCCTGCCTGGTACTCGAGTTCGAGGGACTACTGGAGGTCGGCGGCCGAAAAGCTGGCCACCGTCTCGGGTCGTTGAGTCCAAGGTCGTCCTGCCTGCTGTGGGGTATCATGGGCATGGGCACCGCCTGGGGCTGTGACCCAAGCGAGCCGCAAGGGAGGCCCAGCCCTCTCGCTCCCTCTGTGACGCTGTCGGGCAAGGTCCGAGAGGCGGCAACCGAGGGGAAGGCGAGGGGGAAATCAAGTCCCCCGCCAACCGTCACCGGTCACCGCCACCCCCGCCCAGCGGCTCCTCCCACGGCCGCTGTGGGTCGCTGTGGGCTGTCTCGCGGGTGCTCCGCGACACGCGCGCTGCTGCCCTTGAGAGAGGGCAGGTGGGGGCGTGGTGGCCGTCGCAGCGGACGGGGCAGTGCCGACGGGAAGAGGGGGTCACTGTCCCGTGGGTCGCCAAATGCGGCGGGCGCCGACAAAGGGGTCGGCAGGGACGGGCACAAGAGGGCCGCTTGGGCGCCGCCCCCTCCGCAGCGAGGCCCCAGCGGCGCCGCCGCGGGGCCGCTCGGGCCCGGGGCGGCGCCGATGAGGGCGTCGCTGCTGGACAAGCCGGTGACGCCCGTGGCGGCCCACGAGCCCGAGTCGCAGGGCCACCTGGCGCTGAGGCCCGGGGACACGGTCCTCATTGTCCACGACACCGCTAAAGGCCGACGGGGTCTTCGCCGTCGAGGTCAGCCCACCGGGCGCTGGCCCAGTCGTCGGGGTCAGCGGTTGGGGCGCCAGGTGCCGCCCAGCACGGGTGGGCCAGGGGTCTCCTGTGGTTGACCCAGAAGGGGGTCCAGCTGAAAGGTGGTGGTGGAACAGGTTCGGGGCAATTGTTTTGCAAATGTATTGTGCCAGAGACTTGTGTTGCATCGTATTGCAACTGACGAACTGCACACGAAAGCCCAGCAATACAGCTGCGCGCCATACTGTATTGCACGCCCCAAATTTACTGCAACCGCGCAAATCTATTGACCAAATCTATTGCACCACCCCCTTTTCGCTGGACCCCCTTTTGGGTCAACCAGACCCGCGGCCACTGGAAACCGCAGACATACTAGCTGGCTGGTCGGCCTGGGCGCTGCTGCCGCTGTGGGCTGCGGCAATGACCGCAGGACGGTCGTCGTCGTCGTCGTCGTCGTCGTCGTCGTCGTCGTCGTCGTCTTCGTCGTCGTCGCCCATGGCACAGCAGAGGTGGAGAGGGCCGTCATCTTCCAGACCGTCTCGGTGGGCGCCTGCCCAAGCTTCGGCGGGGTCGTTGGGCGAGAGGTGTGGGGGAGTGTGGGGAAGGTCCCGCGAACTGGTGTCCTCCGCAGCCGTGGTCGTGGTGGGGCTCCAAGACGAGCAGATCGACAGAGATTCGCGGACGGAGAAACAAGGGCGCTTACATGGTGACGGGGGAAGAGAGGCAGGACGGGACGGGACACGGGAAAGGATGGCACGCGACTTGCGACAAGGCAAGAGATGGCAGGACATGGTCAGACGGATCAACATACGGGAGATGTGGCAGACCCTGAGACTGGAAAGCGTGCCTCAACGTTAAGCGGAGCACGTGATTCTCTGCTGGCCTCGGCCACGCTTCAAGCTCAGAGCAAGCACAACCGCAACACCCCTGGGTAGACTACCACTTCCAGCAATCGGTCCTCTCCAGCCGGTGTGACCATCTCTCCATCGACTCCCAGTGCCGCTGGAGACGCAGCATCCGGTCTCAGGCGAAGCGCCCGGATGCGCGTCGCCTTGACTTGCCCATCCTCGAGATGCTTGCCGCTGTCGATCTTGAGGAACCCCTTAAGCACCTTCCACCGCGAGAGCCCGAGGGAGTGCACGAGCGTCATTACGCCGTCGCCCATGCGGTGGTCCGGGGCCAGGGGGGTGCTGGCTCGGGTGCGCCGAAGAGGGGGGGCCCGGGCAGAGCAGGGCTGGCGCATCACTGCCCGAGACACGCGCGCGGACTGCAGTCGGCCCGCTTTACGAGGATGCGCGATGAGTGTGCAAGAGGGCCCTGGAAGGCCGTTCCGAGGCTTCTCGAGCGGGGCGCGGCCAGCGAAAGTGGCCACGGATGGACCGAGGCGGCAAGGGTGCAAGGGGTCCCCCTGGGAAGGTTGCCCATCCTTACCATGCGGACCATGCGGGCTGACTGTGCAAGGGAGGATGACATCTGGGAGATTCCGGGGCCCCAGCCAGGATCCTGAACGCCTGGGACCGAAACCGACGGACCTGAACCCGCAAAAATGACGGCCGCGACGCCCTCTCGAAAGCCGAAAACGGCAAATTCCTGAATCGACGTGTCAGGGTAGGAGATCTGTCCACCCCCGAGATCCCCCCCCCGGATCATCGCCCCCCTTCTCGACGCCTGGTTGGTTGCGGGCCATAGCTCGGGCCTCTGGCGGCCTTTCTGGACGGCTCGGGCACCCCGGGAAAGCTCCGGAGGAGGCGCAGTTGCTGGAACTCATCCCGCGGCAAGAAAAGCCTCGGACAACCAGCGCGAGCACTTCCCCCAGGAAGCCCCCTCCTCGACGCCCCCAGCTGGTGTCGATCCACGTCGCCATCAGCCCCGCGCACAGGTTGAAGTTTCCCTCCACGCGAGACCAGCCGTCGGGCGGCTGCTCGGCGAGGGCGGCGCCCGGTAGCAGCGGAGGCAGCAGCGCGGAGCGGCGCGGCACGGCCGCGCCCAGGCTCGCGGGGGCGAAGATTCCGAAGAACTCCTCGGGCGCGCTCCGCACGAAGGCGGCGTCGCGCTCCGCGTCCTCCAGCAGGTAGTCAAGCTTCGCGTTGTAGCGGCGGAGGCAGAGGATCTGGGAGAGGCTCTCGCTCAAGCTCGAGTTCGCGCTCGAGCTCGGGCTCGGGCTCGAGCTCGGGCTGCGGCTCGGGGGAGCCCGTCCAGAGCGCCACCACCCGCCCCACCGAGAGGCCCGCCCCGAGCACCCGTGCGGCAGCCCGTGCTCCTGCTGCCTTCTGCAGCCAGGGCACGGCCACGAGCGCGTGTGGAGCAAGAGCGTGGGCCCCGCTCGCCGAAGGCCCGAGGTTCTGTGGAGGTGCCCACAGGCGAAGAGCACTCCAAGATGGAGAGCCTGGGCGCAAAGAGCGCGTGGTGCGGAGCCCCCGTGCCGGCTTCCCACAATGACTTAGTTTTCCAAGACTCAACGCTGGTGCTGCTAGCACGGCCCCCTGTGGGGCCTCTGAGGCACATGGCTGTGGAGGTGGGGGAGCGTTGCCGCAAACCCGTCTCGCCCGCCCGTGCTAAACTCTCTGTGCGCAACTGTCTCGGGCCTTGCGGGCACTGCGGCGTTCGAAGACGGGCGCTAACTCCTCCCCTTCAGCAACCCTCCCTGGCGGTCCGCTGTCGCCGTCCCTCCCGCAGCCTTCGACAAGGGACCCCTGGAAATCCTGACCTATTCCCCTGGGGCTAGCTTCTCGTCCCGAACCGTCCTTCGACGGTCCTTCGGCCCAGCGAGGGCCCCCCGGGGGCCGAAACGTGGAGAAGTCATCGCCTGGACCTTTTGCAGTATAGGCCCATGTTTGTCGCCCGGAGCCTGCTTGATGGCCTCGAGCTGGAAGCGGAGCCCCCCGCAGCAGCCCCGCATCCACTCCGACTCGAAGTCGATGTCCGCGACGACCAGGGCCGCTAACGCAGCGAGGGGTGGCGCGAAACCGGACGAACAAAAACACGGCATAAGCATCTTGGGGGTTCGCGCGATTTCTTGGATCGGCGCTTGCTCCCGCTCCCAGGCGCGCGGAGCTCGCCGGATGCGGCGCCGATTGAAACATCTGCTTGGCCCATGGCGTTGTTTCTTCTTCGAATGAAAATGAGGGGGCGGCCAATCCCTTCGTGTCCGACCATGGACCCCTTGTTACCCGTTGCTCCTGGGCCGTCTTCGGCGGTCTTCGGGCGGTCTTCGGCGGTCTTCGGCGGTCTTCGGCGGTCTTCTGACGGTCTTCAGCGGTTTCCGGCGGTCTTTGGCGGTTTCCAGCGACCTTCGGCGCGAAAGCTGGGTGGCTACGTTCAGGAAGGGGTCCATAATCGAACACCAAATTACCCCAGTGCGACCCTACCTAGAAGTTGGAGCCCCTAGGAAAGCAGCATTAGTTGCTATGCTATGCTATGCTATGCTATGCCGTGCTTTGCTGCGCTATGCTATACTATGCTATGCTATGCTATGCTATGCTATGCTATGCTATGCTATGCTATGCTGCGCTATGCTATGCTATGCTATGCTATACTTGGCTATGCTATGCTATGCTGCGCTGTGCTATGCAAAGCTATGCGAAACTGCGCTATGCTATGCTATGCTATGCTCTGCTATGCTATGCTATGCTGCGCTATGCTATGCTATGCTATGCTATGCTTGGCTATGTTATGCTATGCTATGCTAATGCAGCGCTGCGCTATGCTAAGCTAAGCTAACCCTCTAGGCAGAGCCTATGCTGCGCTATGCTATGCTATGCTGGGCTATACTATGATATGCTATGCTGCGCTATGCTATGCTACGCTATGCTATACTATGCTGTGATCTGCGATGCTAAAACTCAGCGAAGCTAAGATGAAGGTAACTAAGCTAAGATAAACCGGAGCTAAGATGAAGCTAAGCTAAGCTAGCATGAAACAAGCTAAGCTAAAATGAGATAAGCTAAGCTAAGCTAAGGGGACGTAACTGGGGGAACCGCGGGGCGGATCCTGGGGGAACCGCCCGGGGCGAGGAACACTGCCCGGCCCTTTAAGCACACAGAGTAAGAACCCTTCTAGGCAGAGCCTAGGTAGGGAACAATTCAGTTCGAGGTTGTTTGAGCTCGAACCCCAGCGCAACACGGCGCTTGACGCACGGGGTGGCCCTGGCAAGTCAAGCCGAGCCCAACCTTCCCTGCCCGCCCCCCCCCAGTTAGCGGCCCCGAGATGAGCGCCCACTCGACCATCAGAACCTTAGTCGCTGCCTCTCTGCTGCTTCCCATCCGCCTTCTTGCCTTGGGGGGGGGCGGGAAGGGGAAGAGGGGTCGGGGCCAAACGGAGTGAGCGGGAGAGGGGGGGGAGGTGATCGGAGGTCCAGCGGCAGCCCAGTGTGTCCACATACCATACGCGCACAACACACCCAAGACACCACACACACAGTACAACACACGCCACACGCAGCAAATGTGCGCGCACGCGCGTACTCGCAGGCAAGCAAGCGCGCATGCTCGCATACGCGCGCGCAGAAACATGGGCCATCACAAACTCACAGCCACCCAAGTCGCACACGGACGCACCTAGGGCCACCCATGTAATTCACATCGGTCAGCCCCCAAACTTGATGCGATCGGCTCAACTCCCAATCGGGCTCGCGATCGCAGTCGTAGGAGACGGAAAACCTGTGGCACCGCTTGATGCATGCACGTCGAATCGGTGCTTGCTAAGCCCTTCCTGCCCGTTATTGCAAGCAAATCGGCACCGACCTGCAGAGCTAAGCCAAAGCCAAAGCTGTGGTGGAACACCATTGCGGTCTCAGTCGCGATCGCAACCGCAGGAGACGGAACATCGGTGGAACAGCTTGATGAATTCACGTCGAATGGGTGCTCGCTAAGCTCTTCCCCTCTGGCGTTGCACGCGAATCGGCACCGACCTGCAGAGCTAAGCCGAAGCCAGCGGCTGTGGAACACCACTGCGGTCCCATGAGCAGCCCGCATCCATCGGCTTAGGGTTGCCCTTCACAGCGATGTATGCGGCAGACGAGGCACATTCCGCCTCCGGAGGAACAACCAATGACACAACCATGAACTTTCGGAGGTCCGCGCTGATTTCTCGGACAGGCGCTGGACCCCCCTCCCTGGCACGCAGAGCGCGCGGCGCTGGAGGCGCCGCCAGGGGGCTCCAGCGCCAAGCTGAGAAATCCGCGCGGACCTCCAGAAGTTCATGCTTATGCCATTGTTTGTTCCCCGAGCCTCGTCGCAGGCCGCCGCGACATTGAACGCGATGGCGTTCCCAGAGCCCGCTGGCACATGGGACAACGCCAGTCTGGAACACACATCCCTTGCGTCGGGGCGGCCAACCAGCCCACACACGAGCTCATGAAACGTACCGTCCCCGCCGCACACGACGATCCCATCAATCTCGCTCACGTCCTCGTCTCGAGCTATGATCGGGCGCGCCGAAGAGAGTGGCCCAGGAAGGGGGGGGTCAGCGCATCATGGCCCGAGGCCTGTGCGCTCGGGGGCGTCTTGCAAGAAGACGGAGCCGCGCCATCTAGGAGGTTTCATGGCTCCGGCCATGCTGTCCACACACCCCTTGCGCTCACCACCCTCCTGGGCGCCCCCGAAATGACGGTCGCCGCTCCAGCGGCGCCCGTCATCTTCAGGGTGAACTCCACCCCGGCGGCTTCCAGCACTGGGGCCGCCTCCGAGCGGAAGAGCTGCTCGCCGCGCCCCCTGCCGGCCGCGGGGTTCACGATGCACAGGAGCCTCCCCGCTCTGCGTCAGGGGTGGCCTTTGCCACGGGTGGCCTCTGGTGCGCTTCGCGGGGGGCGCGCCCCTCCAGACCACCCACGCCTTGAACAAGCCATGGCGTTCTGTGATGTTTCGCCCTCCAGACACCGGCCCAACTCGGCCTAGTCGAACTCGGCCGAGTTGGACCCCGGCCAAGGCGTACTGGCCGAGTTGGACCTGGCCGAATTCGACTGGGCCGAGCTCGACTGGGCCGAGTTCGACCGGACCGAGTTGGAACTCGGCACAACCTGTGGCCGGAGCGCCGGCCGAGTTGGACCGGCGTTGAATTCGACCTGGCCGAGTTCGACCCCGGCCCAATCGGACTGGCCGAGTTCGACTGGACCCCGGCCGAGTTCGACCGGCCGAGCTGGACCGGCCGAGTTGGATCGGCCGAATTCGACTGGTCGAGTTCGACCGGCCGAGTTCGTCCAGCCTAGTTTGGCCTGGCCGAGCTTTTCCCTGGTACTGGGTACACGGGGAGAAGGAGGCTGACGAGGAGCAGGCGGAGGAGGAGGAGGAGGAGAAATAACATGAATAGAAGGAGTACAGAGGAAGAGGAGGGTGAGGGAAGAAGCGAAAAGAGCAGAAGGAGGAGTGAGTAGCAGAAGGGACACGGAGAAGCAGACACAAAAGGGACAAGGACAAGCGGAAGAGAGACAGAGGTCGACCCACTAGGCACCGAAGTCGTGGCACCATCGAGTTGTCAAGCAGCGGCCGTGTATGTACTGCCAAGTGCAGGAAGTTTTTTTTGGAGGGCGTCGGCAGATTGCCCTGTCAAGTGTGACTGGTGCCCCTGGTCCACCGGTTGTACTGTCAAGTGCGGGCAGATGACGCGGACCTGTGTGCGCAGAATCTGCGAGCGCCGAATCCACACTTCGAATTTCTGGATAAACCCTTTCGTTTTTTTTGGGGCCCCCCCGCTCAGGCCATCTGGGAGGCCCCCAGGCTCCCAGGAGGTTGGCCATCTAGGAGCCTAGAGTTGCGAGGCTGTCTGAAGCGAAGCGGGCCGGACCACTTGAGGTCAGAGCAGATTTGGGCCGATTAGATGAGAGGAAGTCTCAGGCGAAACCAGGTGGACCACCTCGGGCCAGGGCATATCAGAGCCAAGGATTGCGAGGATGTCTCAGGAGAAACGGGCGAAACGACGTCGACGACGACGACGCCGACGACGCCGACACCGACGCCGACGCCGACGCCGACGACGACGACGACGACGAGGACGACGACGGCGACGACGACGACACGACGACGACGACGACGACGACGGCGGTGGCGGTGGCGGCGACGACGACGACGACGCCGACGCCGACGACGACGACGACGACGACGGCGACGACGGCGGCGGCAAGGACGGCACCTCTGGACCCCCTCGAATTCCAAGGGAGTTGTCGAAGCTCAGGGGAGGACGGCGACGACCAGCGGTCGTCGTCGTCGTCGTCGTCGTCGTCGTCGTCGTCGTCGTCGTCGTCGTCGTCGTCGTCGTCGTCGTATGTCGTCCAGCCTTGGTAACGGCGCCGACGACGACGACGACGACCACGGCGACGACGACGGCGGCGGCGGCGGCGACGACGATATCCCTGGACCCCCTGGAATTCCCGGGAGGTGGGCGGGAGCTTTGGGGGAGGACGGCGTCGACGAACAGTCGTAGTCGTCGTATCCCCTGCAACCTGGACGAGGCCGACGACGACGACGACGACATCCCCGGACCCCTGGAATTTCTGGGGGGTTCTCGGTGAGTTCGGGGGGCCCGCCGCCGCCGCAACCGCCGCCGTCGTCGTCGTGGTCGTGGTCGTCGTCGTCATCGTCGTCGTCGTCGTTGTCGTCGGCGGCGGCGTCGTCGCGAGGCGGGGATGGATACGGCGACGACAACCGCTCGTCGTCGCCGTCCATCCCCGAAGGTCTCAACAACCTCCCGGGAATTCCAGGGGTCCGGAGGTGTCGTCGCCACCGCCGCCGCCACCGCCACCGCCGTCGTCGTCGTCGTCGTCGTCGTCGTCGTCGTCGTCGTCGTCGTCGTCGTCGTCGTCGTCGTCGTCGTCGTCGTCGCCGCCGCCGCCGCCGCCACCGCCACCGCCACCGCCACCGCCGCGTCGTCGTCGTCGTCGTCGTCGTCGTCGTCGTCGTCGTCGTCGTCGTCGTCGTCGTCGTCGTCGTCGTCGTCGTCGTCGTCGTCGTCGTCGTCGTCGTCGTCGTCGTCGTCGTCGTCGTCTTCGTCGTCGTCGTCGTCGTCGTCGTCGTCGTCGTCGTCGTCGGCGTCGTCGTCATCGGCGTCGTCGGCGTCGTCTAGGCTGGGGGGAAGACGACGACGACGACGACCGCTCGTCGTCGCTGTCCTCGCCCAAACCTTCTGGCAACCTCACGGGAATTTCAGGCGGTCCAGAGGCGTCGTCGTCGTCGTTGTCGTCGTCATTGGCGGCGTCGGCGAAGTTGGGGGAGATGCGACGACGACGACCACTCGTCGCCGCCGTCCTTCTCCGAACTTCACGACAACACCCCAGAAATTCCAGGGGATCCAAGGGTGTCCTCGGTCGCCGCCGCCGTCGTCGTCGTCGTCGTCGTCGTCGTCGTCGTCGTCGTCGTCGTCGTCGTCGTCGTCGGCGTCGTCGTCGGCATCGTCGTCGTGGTCGTGGTGGTCGTCGTGGTCGTCGTCGTCGGCGTCGTGCTCGAGGTTGCAGGAGAGACGGCGACGACAACCACTCGTCGCCGCCGTCCTTCCCCGAACTTCACGACAACACCCCAGGAATTCCAGGGGATCTGGGATCCAGGGGTGTCCTCGGTCGCCGCCGCCGCCGTCGTCGTCGTCGTCGTCGTCGTCGTCGCCGGCGTCGTCGTCGTCGTCGTCGTCGTCGTCGTCGTCGTCGTCGTCGTCGGCGGCGGCGGCAGCGGCGGCGGCGTCGTCGTCGTCGTCGTCGTCGTCGTCGCCGTCGGCAGGGTGAATCCGGAACCAGGGGGGCAACTTTGTTTACGCGGGCCGCGCACTCCCGGGCCCCTTTGGCACTCCCATGTCGTCTTATTTGGCGTCGTCGTCGTCGTCGACACCATGCCGACAACGACAACGACGTCCTGGCGACGACGACGGCGAAAACCATGCCGACGACTCGAGCGGCCGAATTCGACCCGGCCGAATTGACCTGGATGAGTTGGACCTGGCCGAATTCGACCTGGCCGAGATGGACCCGGCCGAATTGGACCCGGCCGAGTTCGACCTGGCCGAGATTGGCTAGCACGTCGTCCCCGGCTGCAGCGCTACAACCAGAGCGCCAGCCGAGCTGACCCTGGCCGAGTTCGACGGGCCGAGTCGGACCTGGCCGAGTCGGACCTGGCCGAGTCCAGCTCCAGCCGAGTTCGACCTGGCCGAGTTCGACCTGGTCGAGTTCGACTGGCCGAGTTCGACCGGCCGAGTTGGACCTGGCCGAGTTGGACCTTTCCCCTCGGGGGGGCCTCGTCGGGCCCTGGGGCGATTCAAACAACGGCTGAGGATGCAAGGCTGGCCCTGATGACGGGTCGGGACTTCTGGGGACCCGGCATTGAGAAAATCATGACGTCAGTTGTCTGGGCTCCCAGGAGCGACCCGCCGTGGGGAGTGCTGGAGGAGCGCCCCCGGGTGCGCGGCTCGGCCCGGCACCCAGACATCCAATGCCTTGCTCTCCTTAGCACGGGCATTTCGGCAGCCCCGACCCTTTCCCCTGGGACGGCTTTTCACTCTGAATCCTGGATCGGCTTTGACGGTCCTGCAGCCCGAGTCGGGCGCCCGAAGGCCGAAACCTTCGAACCAGCCGCGTCTTGACTACCTAAGTACGCTGGGGGGGTCTAGGACCAGAGGCCACCCCGGCGAAAAGGCATCCTTACGCATCGCCGAGCCTCTTGGGGTGGCCGCCAGACTCTGCGCGCCGGCGCCCGCCCGTGCGGACCGCGTCGTTGATCCTCCCGACCCAGCCGGCGGCGGCCTCGGCGGAGTCCGCGCGCAGGGCGTGCCTCGTGAGCCTCCGGGGGCGCGGGTCCGCCGACCTCCAGGCCGGGGGCCGCAGAGCGCTGCCCGGGCCGTGCGCGGGCTCCGGGCCGACCTTCGCGAAGCGCGCTACCTCTGGGGCGGACGCCTCCCTGCTCTGTGCCATGACCATGGGCACCCTAACAACCCTGGCACTGAATTCAGCATGTATTTCAAATGTCTGAAACATGCTCCACACTGTTCAACACATGTTTTAAAACATGTGTGGTACACGGCCAGTGCTGTTTCAGAGCATTTCTTGGACATCTGGGAATCGTGTGGCAGCGTGCTTCCCCTCCGTGGATTCTCGTCCACGGTGCCTGCTCCTCGTGTTTTGCTCGCTGTTGCTGCTGCCCCCTGCCCGTTTCCCGCCCCCTCCCTGCGTCCAGCCGGGCGCAGGCAGGGGGCGCGAGGGCGCGGGAGCCCAGCGCGCGCTGCCGCCCCGGCGGAGGGGTCGGGGCCCCTTGAGCTTGCAGTCGACCCGTATCAGAAGGATGCGCGATAAGGATGCAAGGGCCTTGGAAGGTTATTTCGAAGCCTTGCGAGCGGGGCGCGGCCAGCGGAAGTGGTCAAGGATGTGCCGAAGGGGCAGGGATGCAAGGGTACCCTCGGGACGGACGCCCGTTCTTACTAGGCGGGCCCCCTCAGCCTATGTAGGTCGGGCATGTCCTCCTTCAGGCGGATTTTGGAGGAAAAGTAACAACTAGTCAACACATATTCAAACCTAGTCCAAAAATAATCGAAACATCGTCCCCAGACTACTGTTTGACAATTTCTTAAAGATTCCTCCTGTAGAGGGACACGCCCGACTTAGCCCTCAGCCAGGACACAGCCAACCAGGACACTGCAAGTTTCACGCGAGAACAACGAAGAACTTGAAGCTGCTTCGACCCTCGGCTGCAGGTTTCTCAGAGCGCGCCGACGTCCCCGCCGAATTACCAGAGGCTCCCGCTCAGGCTCGGCCACGCGCGAGAGTGACTCGAGGCAAGAGTGACTCCTGGTGCGCGGCCTGAGAGGGAGCCCTTTGGGGACGCCTCCCGGCGCGCACTCCGCTGCGATCGCATCGGAGGGCCCCACCGAGCCCGCGCCAGAAGTCCCTCCAGCGAACGGTCACCCTTGCGTGTGGCCGGCAGGAGGCCCTGGGACAGCCCGGCGGGCGACGTGCCGGGTGGCGGCTGGCGGGCGAAGCGGCGACGGCGGCCCCGAGAGCGGCCCCCGCGCGAGCGCTGCCGGGCGAGCGCACGGCCTGTGGCAGGCGCTGCGGCAAGCGTTCAGCAGAGTCTCCGCTGTGCACTGGGCACCGCATCTCGCCGCGCCGCCTCCATGCTCGTTCGAGGCTGCACAGCAGGCCGCTTGGCCCGAAGAGCCCCGACAGGGGGCGAAACGCGCAGCCTCCCCTTCTTGTTCGCTCGAGACTCGAGCCAAGACAAGTGCGATGCAGGCGCTCGCAGACGCTCTCCCAGGCGCTGGCGGGCTATCGCACCGCCCGGGAGGCACTTACAGGCACTGGCACACGCTCGCAGAGGTTGTGGGGGACCCGCACCTCTCGACGGCTGTCGCCGTCGGCTGCACCCCCCTCCCCCACCCCGCTGCCGTCCAGCCCGAGCCCGCGCCCGCTGCCGTCATCGCTGTCGCGGTCGTCGGGGTCGTCACGTCACCGTGGACCGTCGCTGTCTTCGCCACCGGTTTTGTCGCAATTGCCCGCCGCCGTCGACGTCGCCGTTGTCGTTCACCACCGATGCCGTTGCCGTTGCCGTCGCCGCCTTCGCCGCCGACGCTGCCTTCGCCTTCAATATCGGCCCCCAGACCTGTCCTGGAGCGCGTCCTGATCAGGATCTCGAGGCGGATCTGGCCGCGGCGACGAGGACCGCCTGGGGGGAAAAAGGGGACAATGGTCGAGATCCTCCTCATCGTCCTCCTCCTCATTCGAACTTTTCATGCCGAGTCGTTCTTTGACGGCCCCAAGGCCCAGCGGGGCCCCGGCCCCTCTGAGAGGCCGACAACGACGAGGACAAACCTCCGCCATGACTTCTCCAAGGCGTCAGGTGCTTGGGCCCTCGTCCTCGTCTGGAGGCCTCCTGGCTGGGGTCGGAAGACCGAGCCGCATCGCCGATGCGCTGGCGATGCAGCTGCGACGTCGGCGATTCAACGTCGCCGCCGGCTTGTACAACATCGGGCTCCACGTCGAGCCGCATCGGCGATGCACCGTCGATGCGGCGCGATCCTCCGAACACCCCAGCTTCGACCGCCTTTGGGAGGCCCGGATCTTCCTCGTCCTCGGCATTCGGCCCTCGACCCCCCGCGACCCCAGAGAGGCCTCCACCGCGCCCGCGCCGCCCGCGGAGGCCCCGAGGATGTCCGCCAGCGGCCAGGCCTCCCCAGCCACCACGAGGCAGCCGCCCGAGAGGCCCTGGAGCTCGCCCTCGGCCATCGCAGGCGCCCGCGGGGTCCCAGGAGAAGGAGGAGGAGGAGGAGGAGGAGGAGGAGGAGGAGGAGGAGGAGGAGGAGGAGGAGGAGGAGGAGGAGGAGGGAGGGGAGGAGGAGGGGGAGGAGAGGGAGGAGGAGGAGAGGAGGAGGAGGAGGAGGAGGAGGAGGAGGAGGAGGAGGAGGAGGGGGGAGGAGGAGGGGGAGGAGGAGAGGAGAGAGGAGGAGGAGGAGAAGGAGGAGGAGGAGGAGGAGGAGGAGGGGGGAGGGAGGGGATAGGAGGAGGAGGAGGAGGAGGAGGAGGAGGAGAGGAGGAGGAGGAGGAGGAGGAGGGGAGGAGGAGGAGAGGAGGGGGAGGAGGAGGAGAGACCCCCAGGCGGGCTGGTTTGGTCCCAGGCTGACGCCTTGCCGTCCCCCGTCGTCTGCATGGGCTTCGGCGGCTCGGCTGCACCCTCTTCGGTGCGCGGCAAAGCCCTTGTGGGCCTGGTGCCTCCTCCTCCTCCTTCTTTTCTCCCCCTCCTCCTCCCCCCCTCCTCCTTCTCCTATCCTCCTCCTCCTCCTCCTCCTCCTCCTCCTCCTCCCGTTTCTTTGGGTTCGGTTGGGCTGGACACCCCCTAGGGGGCCCCCGGGTCCCAGACCCCCTCCCTCGTACCTTGTTTCGGATCGAGTCCCAAGCGAACAGAAAACGAGGCTGCGCGTTTCGCCCCCTACATGGGGCTCTTCTGGCCAGAGAGGCGGCGCGGAGAAATGCAATGCACAATACGGGTTCCGAGAAACCCCGAATCCACCCACAATGCCGGCCTCTCGGGGTCCCAGGCCCCCCACCTCCCAGGCCTTTCGGTCGCAACGCTGGCGGACGCCCAACGCGGTGGAAGCGGATGCTGGGCACTCCTTCCTAGACATCCACCGCCTTGACGGACATCAGAGCGGAGGCTTTTCGTCGTTTTCGGCATCTGGGGGCCCATGCTGGGCCCATGGGGCCGTCGAGAACTCGTGCTGACAAAATCTGCCCCGGGGAATCGGGACTTCTGGGAACGCCGTGCCAAACAAATCAAATTAAGGCGTCGGATGTCTGGGCTTTTGGCTGCGCGCAGCAATGGGGGCGGCGCGAAGGAGGGTGGCCTCCGAAGAGGGCGTGGGGCTTCTGAGAGGGCGGGGGGCCTCTGGGAGGGGTCTGGGGGCTTCTGTGACAAGTCTTCTTCGAAGCCCTCGGGTGCTTGCAATACGCCCTCGGGCCTCTCGAGAAACCCCGCGCCATCTCGAAAGGCCGCCAACCTCGCGCCGCCCTCGTCAGTCTCCGACGTTGAAATTGCGCTGGTCACGTCGGCCCCTGGGGATCCTGGCCCCTTGCCTGGGCCGTTTTTTTCATCCTGCACAGTTGTTGACGGCCTAGGTGCCGAGAAGCAGCTTCCGGATGCCGAAGAGGAAGATGACGAACAAACGACGTGCAGTGTCGATTTCGTTCGTTTGCGCTGGCCGATGCCGAAGGCCCGTGCGGGGCTTGTGACAACGTGGACCTTCGTTTTTTTTTGCTGGGAAAACATCACACACACACCCGGGGGGTCTGGGTGAGGGGGGGGGGCGTCGCCCCTCTGCAGCCTCGGGGCTGTGCCTCGGGCTCGAACCGCTGGCATGCGAAGGCGGCGGGGGGCAGAAGTAGGGAGGGAGTGAGTGAGGTGGAGGAGGAGGAGGAGGAGGAGGATCAAGGAAGCAGGGTGGAGGGAAGGAGAGAAGAGGAGGGTGAAAGAGGGAGGGGGAGGAGGACAAGCTAGGTACGCTCGCGTCATATCTGACGTCCTACCCTTCCCTCCCATCCCCTACCACAGCGTAGATCTCCTCTCTATTCGCACAATCGGATGTCGCAACATGGCATATCATTACATGGCATAGCATGGTGTTGACGATCAACGCGCAGCATAACATGACGTGGCGACGCCCCGAAGTGGGGGTGGCCTCTGTGGCCCAAAACATCAACGAATCGACACCGAATATGTAATCACTTCCGATGTTTTTTTCGGGAGGCCATTTTCTAGATTTTGGGGTCGATTTAGAAGGACCGAGAACTATGCCGTGGCATGGGACGGGAAATTATGACGCCAGCGCTGCAGCGGGAGCACGACTCGGAACGAGCGGAAGCGCGGAAATGGGGCCAGCGCTGCAGCGGGAGCACGATTCGGAATGAGCGGTAGCCCGAAAATGAGGCCAGCGCTTCAGCGAGAGCAGCATTCTGAAAAAAAACCCAAACGAAAACCCAACTCCTGGGAATGCTGTGTAAACAACCCGTACGTGGAGGGGGGCCGGACATTCCCAGGAGGCCACCAGGGGAGAGAGGAGAGTAACATTCATATTGTGTAGTTGTGGAGGAGGGGGAGGTGGAGAAGGAGGAGGAGGAGGAGGAGGATGATGATGATGAGGAGGAGGAGGAGGAGGAGAAGAGGGAGGGAGGGAGGAGGCGGATGAGGAGGGAAGGCGGCAGGGTGGGAAGTCGCAGAGGCCTCCATAGGCCCGACCGTGGGCGAGGGACGCCCGCACACCGAGGTCCTGGAGCTCCCTCGTCGTCCTCGATCTTGGCCCCTGCGGCCTCCTCGCCCTCGCCCTCGTCTTCGGTTTTCGATCCTCCTCCTTCTCCTCCTCCTCCCCCTCCTCCCAGGAGGAGGAGGAGGGTGAGGCGGAGGAAGAGGAGGAGGACCAGGGTAAACCCAAGACACATCAACGATGTTGGAATAAACCCTCCTCCCAAGCTGCTTTTTTTCATATGCCCCTACAAAAAGGTTCATCCCCACTCAGGGAAGTGCCCGTTAGGAGACAACTTTTGGAATATCCTGAAGCGTGCCAACACACAACTTTCGGAACTTCAGTGCCATGGATAAGCTTGACAGCTGCGCCTTGGCGATGCCGACATCAAGCCTGGGACTTCAACGTCTCGAATCAACAAAACTGTTGCACCCTGAAAAGCCGGAATCCTTCCAGAATTCCATTTCTGGTAGGGTAACAACGGGAAGCCGGGAAACTTTTGCAATCCCACCAGCCCTCTGGGCGTCGGTGGTTTAGAGCGTTTCCTCTTCCACCCCTCCTTCTTCCCCTTCGGGGAGGGGTTTACCCCTCCCCCTACCCCCTCCCCACTGACCTGGACAACGGCCTCGGGGGCCAAAATCATTGATTTTACTAAGGTTTTGGCCCCATTTTGGCCCCCAGAGGGGGCAGCACTAATTGAAACTCCCCTCTTCTTTGATCGATTTCCTCCAAGATGGCCCCAAGAAGCGCCCAGGAGGCACCAAGAGGCCCCAAGATGGCCCCAAGATGGCCCCAAGAGGCCCCCAGGAGGCCCCCAAGAGGATCCCAAACGGCCCAAAGAGGCCCCCCCGAGGCACCCAAGACGCCGAAAAGCCCCTCAGGACGACCCTCTACTCGCCTGGGCGTCGTTTCTGGACGGGCTGGTGGGGATACGCGAAGCGTCTAGAATTTCTAGAAACAAGTGTGCGCGGCGCTAAGGCTATAACCGCATTTTGAAAACGACTGCCCTCAATCCGTCAAGCTCTTGCAATTGTTTGAAGCGAGTGTGCGCGGCGCGAAAGCGAGAACCACATTTTGACAACGACCTGCCTTCAACCCGTGGAGCTCGTGCGAATATTTACAACGACTGTGCGAGGCGCTAAAGCGATAACCACATTTTGAAAACGACCCACCCTCAATCCGTGAAGCTCTTGCACATTTTTGAAACGAGTGTGCGCGGCGCCGAAGCGAGAAACACATTTTGAAAGCCACCCGCCCTCAACCCGTGAAGCTCTTGTTTTTTACAGCGAATGGGCGCGGCGCTGAATCGATAACCACATTTTGAAAACGACCCGCCCTTCATCCGTGAAGCTCTGGCAAGTTGCTAGGACGAGTGCGCGCGGCGCTAAAGCGAAAGCAACATTTTGAAAGCCACCCGCCCTCCATCTACGAAGCTGTTGCAACATTTAAGATTGAAGATCATAATGTGTGCGAAAGTCTCCGGCGAAACGCCCGGCCCGCCTTTCCGACTGGCCTCGGGGTGCGACGGGGATGAGTGATTTCATAGGGAAAAGGAATGGAGGATGATGAGGAGGAGGAAGCGCAATTGTTTCTCTCCCCGAAGACACCTCAGCTGCTTACTTCCCAGGAGGAAGACGAGGGAACGAGGGAGAAGAGGACGACGAGGCCGAGGGGGAAGCAACGACGACCCCAACGCGCAGAAGCGACAACGCGGGAGGGGAGGAAACGAGCGGGGAGGCGACAACCCGACGAGACAGGACGAAACGAGGTAAAATGACAAGAGAAACGAGACGCACCCACCGCCTCAGAGATCACGATCATCACCATCAGCAACACAAAGCTGATGACATACCAAAAGCGTAGACTTCTGATTCTTATTCCGCTTCTTGGCCGTCTCCCCGGCAGGCGCGACAATGTCTCGAGCGCCTTCGTAACCAACCTCACGGTGATGGGGTCTATCTGGTACAAGTGGCTCAGCCAGCCCAGGTACGTACCTCATGACGGCAGGCCCTCCAGCACCAACATGCCCATGATCACGATCCAAAGGAAGATCATCCGAAAGACCAAATTCAACGCTAGAGGCACCAGCTGGCATACCTCCATGCAGCTCCGCACCGCCAGGCAGCCCTCCACAAACCTCCACTCCCCCAAGAATCACTCCACCAAGAAGATCCGCACCACCACGTTGCCCTCCAGGGAGCCCTCCGCCAGGAAGATCCGCGCCTCCAAGTAGCACCCGGCCAGCATCAGGAAACACTTCACGCTGAGGATCCGCACCGCCAGGTTGTACGCCATGGAGAACTGCCCCAGGGCGAGGTTCACCATGAAGATCCGCACCGCGAGGTAGACCGCCGCAAAGACCTCCTCCGCCAGGAAGAGCTGCGCAAGGAAGATCCGCACCGCCAGGTAATACTCCATGGGGCACTGCGCATCCCCGCCTCCAGGAATCAATCCACCCTGTAGATCCGCACCGCCCTGTAGCACCCCAGAAAACTCTCCCCCAACAAGATCTTCGCCAGGTAGATCCGCGCCTCAAGGTAGCACTCCACAGTGATGCACGCCTCCAAGAAACGCCTCAACAAGACTATCCGCACCCTCAGATAAACCTCCACCAATATCCACATCGCGAAGAGGCACTACGCCAGGTAGATCAGGTCCACCAAGTAGCGCTCCATGGCACTCAAGAGAACCCGCACCACCACGTAGCACTCCAGAGAGTAACCCATGGAGAACGACGTCCACGCCACCACTAGGCGGCATCTTGAGCTCGGGTGCATCTCGTTTCCGAACAAGCCCAGGAAAACGGAGCACAACGGGCAAGCGAAGGAGTAAGGAATAAACCGCCACCATCTTCACATCTCGGAAGCCGGGCAAGGGCTGCTAAATCCATGGCTGCTAAAATCGACCTCCGGGAAGTTGTCTTCGTCCTTACGGGAAGAAACTTGTTGACTGTTTCCCGTGCCGCGCCTCATTCCGGGAAGTTGTTGTTTCCTTCCGGGATGGCCGTTTTAGCAGCCACGGTTTTAGCAGCCCTCGATCTTCACATCGCCGAGGCCGCTTAGATTGGCCCAACAACGGCAACACGCCAGCACCGCCTCCACCCCAGGGGCCGTCACCGCCGGGCCCATGCCACGGGTCAGGCTCGTCAGGAGCAGAACGGCGCCGATGGCAGTGTCCACCTCCGCCACCAGGGTCAGCCCCATCAGCTCCATCATCGTCATCATCATCCTCCGCGGGAGGACCAGGCAGCTGGGGCCCAGGCCGCGGCTCTAACCACAGAGCGACCTCGTGCCATCCGCCCGAATGGCGGTGACCACGACCCAGCGCTAGACGAGCGCCAAGCATTTGAGGAAGATGATCGACCAGACCAAGGGCTGCAAGCTCAACGAGCGGCGACGCCTGCAGGCTCGTGTCGATGGCCAGCTTCCGCTTGAAGCGTCCCTGCGTGGCCGCGCAGCCCGCAGAGACGTAAACGCCGGCGCCCCGCAGGACCTGCCGCCGAGTCCGTGCCGAGCGCGAGGCGGGATGGGAAGGGCGCAGGGGCGCCCCGCGAGCCACGGGGACGGGCAAGTGTCCGAGCCAGAATGGCTACGGAGGAGGAGGAGGAGGAGGAGGAGAAGGAAGAGGAGGAGGAGGAGGAGGAGGAGGAGGAGGAGGAGGAGGAGGAGGAGGAGGAGGAGGAGGATGACGATGATCTAGCCGCGGGCCCGAACAACTTCGCGCGGCGGCGAGCGTGGCGCCCTCAGGTGGGCGCTCGCGATCAGCGACCAATCCGACGCTCGCCCTTGGGCGATGAGGCCATGCTCATGTCGTTATCGGTATGGCACTTCCCTCTGCACGTCTCCTGAACAACCGACCTTCGCGCACCGCGCCCCCCGATGCGCGACGCGCCCTCACGCCCTCGGGCCGCCCCCCTTGGGAGAAGGGCAACCGCTCTGACCCAGACCGCGACGCTCGAAGCGCGATCATCTTTGTTCCCCCGTGGGTGACCTGGGCCCCCCATTGCCTCCTCTCGCTCTCTATTTTCCTTTCGTCGCGAAGCAATGCGCAGGTCGGAGTACGCAAGTAGAAACAACGGGCCCGTCACAATCAGCATGGAAGAGGGCAGTTCGTTGTGGAACGGAGGCGACAGGCCAGGTTACACCGCAAACGCAACAGATGACAGGTACGATGTTGCTTGGACTCACATTTAAGTTAAATGTTATGCTGCTGTGCCGAAAACACTTTTGAACACACACGCTGGAGCATTTGCTCCTAGTCCTCAGTTGGCAGACGACCGGAGTCGCCGCCACCAGACTACTTACCGTCGCTCTTTCTTCGAATGCCGGGGGCACACCCACCGTCCAAGCATCCAGCAGATGACCAGAATCATCACCATCCCTCTCAATACGAGTTGAATGATGATTGGTCAAATGTAACTTTAACGAATGTTGGCATGCAAACCTCAATTAAGGGACAACGCGTCATTATATTTCAACCGATTCGCACCAGGGAGCCTCCAACAAGACGGATGCACCAGATATCCAAGTCGATCCTGGATGCCGCCGTTGGCGTAAAACACGCCCACCAGGCATAATGGACAACGCTGCTGTGTTCAGAACCTCCGTGCCCTCCAATAAAAAAAAACGGAGTTGCCTTGGCGGTGAATTTTGGGCGTGTTTTTTTATGCCGATGCTTGCGTCCAGACAACGGCCGCGAACGCAACATTGAAATGGGGGGTCTGGGGGCGGCACAGTCGAGGCAACGTCCGTGAATGGGTGTTTTTTTACGCCAGCAGCGGTATGGTAATTCAGAAGTTGAGGTGGGTGCGGATAACACGACGTTAGCACGAAGCTTAAGAGTAACTGACTCGTAGAGCTTCCCTAAGAGCGAAGAGCTGAAGCTTAAGAATAATTCAAAAACGCTGGCAGGCTGTCGCTTCGAAAAATCTCGACGAAACTTTTACATAATTTTGGTCGATTGAAAACAACATTCAACAGATCGTTGGAGCTCTAATTTTCTTTCCCCCCATCTTTGATCTTATCCCCGCTCGTCATCTTGACCTCAGGTCGATCGGGTGGATATTACTGTCCAAAATCACACATTATACATTCTTTGCTAGTTTGTGTGGGAGACAGCGAGGAAGGTGGGAGCATGGGCCCCTGTAGTATCCAACCAGGGTCCAACAAACACGGGCCGTTACTCAAACCAGTCCGACAGCTGGACACCATCAGACGATGCTTTCGTTGCCTATCTTAAGCATCCCCATGAGCGATTGTCGCCTGCCAAAATAGATCCACTTAAAGACATGATTGCAGAGGTCTGGACATAACTAGGCGGTTGGGGCAAAACTTACAGCATTGTTGATAGCAGGCCATTCGGAAATTACTTACCGTTGCTACCATAGCTTCAATTCCACGAAGGCCCCGAGGCCTTGGAACTGCGTTGCTTGTGATGAACTGATGAGGATCTGCAACCAGACCAGCCACTGATTCACAGTGTAGGCAGACATGCCATATACGTATTTGCAGTCCAGACGAGCTGGCGTACATGACTTACGTAATGGACACCCCACAAGATGATACGGTCGATGGTAGCAGGAGTTCGGATCCAGACATCACGACGCCGAGTTCAAACAAAACTAATTCAAAGTGTTGGCAAATGTGCTTCACAAGAGAAGGGATTGAGCAACCCAACCTTTTCGCAATCTCTTTGTCCACGGCAAACCGTACATCACAAATCCTCGTCATCCCGTTTCGAATCGGGCATCCTAGCGTTTGCATGCGTCAATCCTTGTCTTCGGATGGCAGTGCTGGGACGACAGGCAGATCTTCAAAAGTGCTGTCGAACAACATGTTTTCACTAGCGCTTGCATCGAATATGAGGGCCTCCTCTGCAGATCTTGGGCCTCGATAGACCTCTTTCACGCTCTCGACGTCCAAGCCCATGGTTCCCAACTTCTCGGCGACGTCGAATGCTTGCCTCAGATCGTCGATGAGGTCACGAATGTCTTCGATCCCCACGCTCAACCGGACAAGATCGGCTGCGAGCGGCTCCGTCTGAAGCGTGTCGTCGTGCGGGATGCTCGCATGCGACATGGTGCGCGGCATCTCAACGAGAGAGTTCACGCTGCCGAAGGATACGGTGATCCGCCGACCCCGGAGGTTCCCCTGTATGCATGAAAGCAGCGGGTCCTGAGGGAAACGGCTCCTGGACCCATGGGGCGTTCCCCGTGGGACAAGTTTTTTCTTGTCTATATCTCCGGCGCAATTTTGAGGGGGAGGGAGGGGAGCGGACACATCGGCACGATGACACACTCGGCGACGCAAGCGTGCAGCCAGTGAGCTACCTCAAACACCGTGCGAATAAAACGTCCAAGTCCTGCGAGCGATGGCCTGTATGAATGGTCATTGTGCGGCGGTGGGCATAAGACTGAAAGAAGGACGGTTCTGGACCCCCCTGGGACCAGCTTTACATCTCCAACATATTTTTACGGTTCTGGAGCCTTGGGAGATTGAGAATCACCTGGGAATCCGTCTCCCTCAGGACCCCCTTCATGCCGATCTCAGGACCTGTCCAGGGGTAGGCTCCGGCTATGACTTCGAGGGGGATCCAGCCGTGGCGAAGAGGAGGCTCCGAGATGCCACCACAGGGCGAACGACAAAGAAAAACCTCGACCCTCGAAAACGGCAAACCTTTTTCTCGTGGTGACCCTCCCCTCGGCTTCCTCTCGCGGGGCGCGCCCCGGCTCGCTGCCCGAGGCGCTGCCCCGACCAGTGCGCCCACGGCCTCGAGTGCTTCGACGCTGGGGCCCGCCATCCCCGATTCCGCGACTTCCTGAAGTACTCCTCCTTCCTCCTCTTTCTCCTGCCTCGTCGTCGTCGTCGTCGTCGTCGTCGTCGTCGTCGTCGTCGTCCCCCTCCTCCCTTTCCTCCTCCTCTTAATTCCCCTACTCCTTAACCTCTTCGCTCCTCCTCGCGTCTCGTCCATCGTCCCTCCTTCTCTCTTCGCCCTCCGCCTCCTCCTCCTCCTCGTCCTCTTTCTCCTACTCCTCGTTCTCCTCTTCTTCCGCCTCCTCCTCCTCCTCCTGCTCATCCTTCTCCTCCCCTGTTCCTCTTCCTCCTCCTCCCCCCTCCCCCCCCCCCCCCTCCCCCTCCCCCCCCCCCTCCTCCTCCTCCTCCTCCTCCTCCTCCTGCTCCTCCTCCTCGTCCTCCTCCTCGTCTCGTCCTCGTCCTCGTCCTCGTCTGCTCCTGCCCTCCCCCTCCCCTCCCCCTCCTCCTCCTCCTCCTCCTCCTCCTCCTCCTCCCCTCCTCCTCCCCCTCCTCCCCCTCCTCCTCCTACTCCTCCTCCTCTTCTCCTCTCCTCCTCCTCCTCCTCCTCTGCCTCCTCCTCCTCCTCCTCCTCCTCCTCCTCCTCCTCCTCCTCCTCCCCTCCTCCCCCTCCCCCTCCTCCCCTCTCCTCCTCCTACCCCTCCTCCCCTCCTCCTCCTCCTCCTCCTCCACCTCCCCTTCTCCTCTTCCTCCTCCTCCTCCTGCTCCTTCCTCCTCCTCTCCTCTTCCTCCTCTTCCTCCTCCTCCTCCTCCTCCTCCTCCTCCTCCTCTCTTCTGGGCACTCCCGACCTGCGATCGAGCAGCGAACCTCTTCGGAGACGGCGCAGGCCCCCCGACTCTTGAAGATCCTCAGCGCCTCGCACAGCCGGCGCGAGAGCTCGACGTCGCCCGTCTCGAACGAGATGAGCGCCCCCGGTCCCTCCGCCTGCCTCCTGTGAGTCTCGGCCTCGCTCGCCGACAGCTGCAGCTTCGTCGAGGCCTGCACGCCTTCCAGCAATCCGCCCCCGCGCCCCTAGGGCTCGTGGTGCGCGTCGGCGTGCCATGTACAAGCGGCGCTGCAAGGGCCGCCCCATCGCCCATGGGCCACGATGACTGCCCCGGTGGGCCGCCCGCCCTCATCCAGGCCCAGATGCCCACGCCCGCCCTTGTACAATCTACCAATCTACCCCTTGCGCCCTACGCCGAGATCATCGACGCAGCTCCCCCAGCTGCGGCCGATCGGGACAGGAGGGGGGAGGGGAGAGAATTTTTGGCCTTCGACGCCGATTAAATCGAGCAGCGAGCCTGTCAGCAGAGGCCGGCACGCAGCTCGCAGAAGATGAGTGACAGGACAATTCAGCACGGGCACCAAGTGAGGCAAGCTCAGCATAGCACGAATGGAACCCCACGTCAGAGCGGACGGGACGCGTCGAAACCAAGCAAGGAGTCCGTACCTCCCTTCCCAATGAAACCCCCTCCCTCCACAGTAGGCGGCGACAGACGGATCAAGACAAACAATGCTCGCGTGCCGTGCCCTACCAGGACACTGTTCAGGAGAGGCGGAGGGAGGGAAAGGTAATGCCGAGCAGGCAGTAGGGCTGCGACACAGACGACATCCCTATGCAGCTCAGCAATATCATGAGGCCGCGTGGAGGCAACACAGAGGGAATTATCACACGGAACTCTCTGCCAAAATAAGTGCAGCCCAGTCGGACGGCGGTGGAGCAAGAACGTCTATCTTCGCACCCACGCCAATCACGAGCGACAACGGCGGCAGAAGATGGGAACGCTCGCTGCTTCCAACTTGGCGGATGCTAGCCCAGCCAAGATTCGCTCCTAAGCGAGGATGGGGAGGGAGGGAGGGATGGAGGGAAGACACCGAGAAGGCGAGAGTGAGGCGGGGACACAGGTCGACAACCTCTGGTCTCGGCAAACAGTCCGTCGCCCCGACATCGTCGCCACACGGGGCGCCTGCCAGTAGGAGAGTAAGCGATCGAGCCATCGTCGCCAGAAAGGGACGCTCTCCTCCTTCTCCTCCAACTCCTCCTCCTCCTCCTCCTTCTCCTCCTCCTCCTCCACCTCCTCCTCCTCCTCCTCCTCGCTCGCCGGTCCTGGAAATGCGCGAGGAGGGACGCAGGGGCGAAGCGGGGGCGTCCCATCGAGCCCGGGAGGGGGAGCGCACGCGACATCCAAGGACGAGATCTGCCCGCGGCGCCGCTGCACGAGATGCATGAGCTGATGCGCGACAGAGCAAAGAGGCGCAACGACCCCCTGATGCGCGACAGGGCCACTCCCTCCTTGACACCCGCCCGAGACAAGGAGGCCGAACCTCCACCGCGCGCCCAGGTTCCTCCAGAGGTCCCAGCTTGGAGAATCCACGGGTCCCTGGAGGCTCCCGCGGAGGCCCAGACTTCGGGCGGGTGTGACGCATTCGGGGCGCAACTGAAGTCGCCGAGACGGCCAACCGTCTGCGCCAGATTGCCTGATCCTGATGCTCCTCACCCTCCACACATCTTCTGCTCCAGGTTCCTCCTGGCTTGTCAACCCATCGGCCAAGCTCGGCCAACCGCGCGTTCGCAAGCAGTTCGTCGAAACGTTCGTGGGTCATGCGCGGAGCAGGCACGTGCATCGGTGCAGGTACGTGCATCGGTCCTGCCCGGACCCACCAGCGCACGGACATGGGAAAGCTTAGCCTCGGCGACATCGGGTTCAATACGGGGTGCAAGGTAGCCCAGCTCACGACTCGCCACGGCCGTCTCAGAGAGGGGTCGGCGCACGCCAGCCCACTTCCATGGAAATCCACCGCGTCGGATCAGCTGGCGCCCGATGGGTGGACCTGCAAGCTATCATCACCAATGGCGCAAGGAATGCCGGACGGTCATCATCAGCTCCCGGCGGCTGCCCAGAATCCAGATAGCCTGCATTCCTGGCAGACCCGTGCTCCGGCAGCAGGCGCGGGGTGGGGCCCGTAGGCTGCCTCGCCACCTCCCCCGGGCCCCGACAGGGAACGCTTGGGGGGAGCGGCTTGCCCACCTCCGCGTTGCAATACTCCAGCATTGGCTCGTGCTCGGCCTCCCCACGATCATCTTGTCGAAGGCCTTCACGGCCTCCAGCTGCTGGAACCTTCCAGGGGCCTGCAGGTAGATTTTGCGTCATCGCAAGACTAGAAGCGGCGCACGGGGGCCAGCCACGGCTCCATTGAGCCTCAGGCAATGGCGACTCGAGGCCGTGCGGGGTGGGGCCAGCAGGCTGCCTCGCCGCATCCCCAGGGCCCCGACAGGGGGCGCTCGGGGGAGGAGCTTGCCCACCTCCGCGGTACAAGAAGGTCCAGCATCGCCAGCGGCAGAGGCCAGCGGCAGAAGCAAAGGCAGCCAGCTCCGGCGTCACCATCCGCTTCTCCGCACCAGCCAAGCCATGGGGACGAGTAGCAGCATACTGCGGAGCAGCCGCATGAGCTTGCTGTCGAAGTGTAGTAGTCGGCAGCAGCGGCGGCCTGCTGGGCGGAACAACGAAGGCCTGCAGATACCCGGCGGCGCCCAGGCAAGTAGTTGGCGTTCAACCAGGGCCAGGGCGCTGGGGGAGCAGGAGGAGCCGCTTCATCAACCACGCCAGCGGTACCGACAGGGGCACGAGAAGCAGGGCCGCTCTGGTGGACGCCCTCCGCAAGCGGTCGATGAGGAAGCTGCTCTCGAAGCCGTGGCCCTGCAGATGCAACCAAGACCGAAGTCTCGGCCATGCCGAGGGACAAGCGAACGCGAGCAGCATAGCCGAGCCTTCGTGCAGCGGAGGAGGAGGCGGAGGCGGAGGCGGAGGCGGAGGCGGAGGAGGAGGAGGAGGAGGAGGAGGAGGAGGAGGAGGAGGAGGAGGAGGAGGAGGAGGAGGAGGAGGAGGAGGAGGAGGAGGAGGAGGAGGAGGAGGAGGAGGAGGAGGAGGAGGAGGAGGAGGAAGAGGAGGAGGGGCGGCCTCGGCAGGCCGCGCCCGCCGGAGAAATCTCAGGACGCGCGGCAGTTCCCGCACATCGGTACTTAGGCAGCCATGGCAAGGGCACGGCTGGCCCGCGACGAGCCGAAAAATCGGCGGGGCCGGCGCTTCTGGCAGCAGTCCTGGCGAGGCCTGGTGAACAGCCTCGGGCTGGGAGGGCGGCAGGGGGGGGGGAGGAGGGAGGATGAGGAGGAGGGAGGGAGCGAGGGATGATGGACTCATGGAGGAGGAGGAGGAAGAGGAGGAGGAGGAGGAGGAGGAGGAGGAGGAGGAGGAGGAGGAGCAGGAGGAGGAGGAGGAGGAGGAGGAGGAGGAGGAGGGAGGGAGGAGGAGGAGGAGGAGGAGGAGGAGAGAGGGACGAGGTCCTCCCCGCGCGGCGGCGGATGTGCGCGGCAGCGCAACGCGATTCCGGCCAGAAGAGCTTCGTGACCCTCGGGTGCCCATGCAAGAACGCCGCGACCTCCCTCGCGTTGGCAACGCTGCAGTTCTGCCTGACCGCCAGGGTCTTGATCCCCCTCGCGGGAGGAGCACAAATCGGCACAGCGCACAAACTTCCAGATGACCGCGCGGACTTTTTGGATCGGAGCTGGACCTCCCAACGGCGCCTCTGGCGCCATCCCTGGCGCGCTCCGCGCGTCAGGGAGGGGGGTTCTGCGCTGGTCCAAGAAGTCCGCGCGGACCTTCACAAGCGTACGCACATGCACATTATTTCTTCTTCGGCCTGAGCAGCAGCCAGCAATCGAACGGGGCCAGCGCTGTGCCCTCTGCGTTCTGGCTGTACGCGATCTCGCCAGCGAGCTGATCATTGCCCACGGATACGATCCCGCCCATCGTGTCCGCATGCCCGCTAATCCACTTGGTAGCTGAGTGAACGACCAGATCAGCGCCGAGGTCGAGCGGGCGCATGAGCAGCGGCCCCATAGCAGTGGCATCGACAGACACCCAGATGTCCCTGCTATGGCAGATCCTGGCAACTTCCTCGATGTCGGTTATCCGCAGTGATGGGTTGGAGGGTGTCTCGAGGTGCAGCACCTTGATACGTCCGGGTGGACTCTCCTCAACAATTCTCCGAACGGCGGCAAGGTTCGTAGTGTCCACGAACCTGGGCGTCACGCCGCTTCTCGTTGCCACTTTGGTCACCAATCGGTACATCCCACCGTAGATGTCGCTTCCGCACAACATCTCTCCGCCCCTCGCCAAGTTGACAACCTGACCGTTGCACAGGCCGCTCCCGATATGAAGAAACAGAAACGAAGACACAGTATCATAAGGACGCACGAGCTTCTCGAGCGGGGCGCAGTCAACGAAAGTGGCTGAGGATGGACCGAGGAGGCAAGGATTAGAAGAAGGAAAAGCGGCATAAACATAAACTTTCGACGGTCCGCACGGAGCGCCCAAAGTTTATGTTAATGGCGTGTTTCTTCTGCGAAGGGTGCAAGGGTAACCTTGCGAAGGTTGCCCATCCTTGCTGTGCGGCTTGACTGCAACATCGGAACTAGATCACTCGGAAGCCTCAGCCTGCGAGCTCGGAGGGTGTGCCGGGCGCCGCGGCCGTTGCAGAGAGCTCCAGGACGCCCTGACAGAGTTTCGGAAGGCCCTGGAACGATCTGTGCCCTACAATCATTGCGCTACCATCGGGAAGGCTGACAAAAAGTACGAAGGGGCTTCTCTGGCCACGGCAAGCCTCGACCACGACTCGTCTCCACGACCTAATTCCAAGGAGCGGCCCGAAAAACCGAGCCCCTCCTGAGCTCAAGGCGGTCCTTATCTCAGCGTCTTGACTGTAGGCCTGCCTGACCCCCCCAAGTCAACGTCATGACTGGACCCAAAGCTCGGAACCCTTCGCCTCACCTCGCGCCCTTGCCAAGCGGGCCGGTCGCGCGGATCGCCTGCCCGTCCCTGGGCACGGCCTGGGGGCGCATGTGGATTGTGCCACTGGGTCCATCCCTATGGGGGCACGTAACGTGTGACGAGCGTGGCGACAGTGGGACGGGGGGGCGCATGTGGGCTGTGCCACTGGGGCGTTTGGTGCAGCTTCCTATAGGGCCACGAAACGTGTGAGGGTTGTGCCGAAATCGGGCGGGCATGTGGACTGTGCCACTGGGGCCTTCGGTGGAGCTCCCTATGGGACCACGAAGCGTATGAGGGGTGTGCCGAAATGGGGCGGGGGCCTTCGGTGGAGCTCCCTATGGGGCCACGAGACGTGTGAGGGGTGTGCAGGCATGGTGCGGGGGGACGAGTGCGGACTGTACTACTGGGGCCGTCGGTGGAGCTCCCTATGGGGCCGCGAGACGTGTGCGGGGTGTGCGGAAATGCAGCGGGGGGATGCCTATGGACTGCACCATTGGGGCCCTTGGTGGAGCTCCCCATGGGGCCACGAAACGTGCGAGAGGTGTGCGGAAATGGGGCGGGGGGACGCATGTGGACTCTGGGGCCTTCAGTGGAGCTCCCTATGAGGCCACGGAGTGTGTGAGGGGTGTGCTGAAATGGGGCGGGGGGTCACATATGGACTGTGCCACTGGGGCCTTCGGTGGAGCTCCCCATGGGGCCACGAAACGTGTGAGGGGTGTGCCGAAATGACGTCGACATGGTTGTGCGGAGGGCAGGGGCAGGGATGGGAGGAGGGAGGAGGGAGAGGAGTGAGAAGGAACGCGGGGGCTGTCTCTTCAAAGCGAGGACACAACACCACAGGATGGTTGGGAGCAAAACCCTTCGCGTCGTGAGAAAACACGACGGAAGGCCTTTGGCAATATTCAGCCTCTGGCAATATTCAGCCTCTGGGGGCTCCTGGGCCCCAGGACCGCCAACAAAATCACGCAGGACGAATAAGCGGTCCTGGGAGGGGGTCGAGACCTCCGGGGTCCACGTCGTGAAAATCCACGGCGTCGGAGGCATGGGATGTTGGCGAGCCTTGCGCAAGTTGGGGTTGGCCTCGACGGCAGGTGGGGGCGCGCCTGCGCCTCTCGCTTCGGAAGCGTGGTGCCCCATGTCCGAACACCCCTCACACGTTTCGTGGCCACATAGGGCAGACTCCACGTGCGTCCCACAACTTCCTTTCGGCACACCCCTCACACGTTTCGAGGTCCCACAGGGAGCTCCACCGAAGGCCCCAGTGGCACAATCCGCATGCGCCCCCCCGCTCCATGTCGGCACACTCCTCGCACGTTCCGTGGCCCCAGGGGGAGCCCCACCGAAGGCCGCAGTGCGAGGGTCCACATGCGTCTCCCCCGCTCTGTTTCCGCCCCCCCCCTCCTCCTCCTCCTCCTCCTCCTCCTCCTCCTCCTCCTCCTCCTCCTCCTCCTCCTCCTCCTCCTCCTCCTCCTCTTCCTCTTCATCCTCCTCCTCCTCCTCCTCCCCTCCTCCTCCTCCTCCTCCTCCTCCTCCTCCTCCTCCTCCTCCTCCTCCTCCTCCTCCTCCCCCTCCCCCACACAAAAAAACGCCCCGAAGCCAGAAGACCTCCAAGAATTCACAGGAAACCTCCAAGAAACAAACGCCTCGAAACCAAACAACCTCCAAGAATTCCCAGGAAACGCCCCCGACTCCTTCTGAGCCTCGAGCATCGGATGCCAACCTCGCGCGTCGTCGCCCAACGCTCGCCAACATCTTCCCCTGGCCGAGAAGAGCGCACCGCGGTCACACGAAGGCCGGCGCCCGGAAAAGCGGCTGGCGAGCGCCGAGGTGCCACGCAGAGGGGCGGGGGGGGCGGGCGGCAGCCGCTGCTGGGCAGAATGTTCGCCTGGCCTGGCCCTGGGCTGACCGCCTCTGGGCTGGCCCTGGGCTGACCGCCTCTGGGCGGAGCGCCGTCTCGGGGGAGTTCGCGCGTGCGAGCGGGGCAATCACTCTCACGACCCAGACATCGAATTTGGAGGATCAAGGTTCGAGACTCGCGGCGGGTTGGAGATCGTTGGGGCATTTTCGGCTTTTTTGAGGCTTCCGTGGAGCTCCAAGGACCCACTGGGGCTTCCAATAATCCGCCGACCCTGTCGGCGTGTGTGAGGGGCTTTTCCGTTCGAGCCGTCATCTCCGTCATTCTTTGTACTCGTCGTCTCTGTCCTTCCCTTTCCCTGGGACTCCTCTTCCCCTGGGCTCCAGCCAAGCCGACCTTGAGCAACCTCGTAATTGAGTCGAAGGGAAGCCCCTTCCCTTTGATCCCTCCCCCGCCGGGAGGGGGGGGGGGTAGCGACCCCCCCCCCGGGTCAGATACGACGCCCCCCCCTGGGACTCCTCTTCCCCTGGGCTCCAGCCAAGCCGACCTTGAGCAACCTCGTAATTGAGTCGAAGGGAAGCCCCTTCCCTTTGATCCCTCCCCCGCCAGACCCCCCCCCGGGTCAGATACGACGCCCCCCCCTGGGACTCCTCTTCCCCGACCTTGAGCAACCTCGTAATTGAGTCGAAGGGAAGCCCCTTCCCTTTGATCCCTCCCCCGCCGGGAGGGGGGGGGGGTAGCGACCCCCCCCCCGGGTCAGATACGACGCCCCCCCCTGGGACTCCTCTTCCCCTGGGCTCCAGCCAAGCCGACCTTGAGCAACCTCGTAATTGAGTCGAAGGGAAGCCCCTTCCCTTTGATCCCTCCCCCGCCGGGAGGGGGGGGGGGTGCGACCCCCCCCCGGGTCAGATACGACGCCCCCCCCTGGGACTCCTCTTCCCCTGGGCTCCAGCCAAGCCGACCTTGAGCAACCTCGTAATTGAGTCGAAGGGAAGCCCCTTCCCTTTGATCCCTCCCCCGCCGGGAGGCGAGGGGGGGGTAGCGGGGGGCGGTAGCGACCCCCCCCCCAGGTCAGATACGACGCCCCCCCCCCGTACCGACCTTGAGCAACGTCGTAATTGAGTCGAAGGGAAGCCCCTTCCCTTTCCCTTCCCCGCCGGGGGAGGGAGAGGGGGTCCCGGGGGGGGTCCCGGGGGAGTCCCGGGGAAGTCCCGGGTCAGATACGACACCTCCCTCCCCCACCTTCTCGTCCTTCTCCCCGTTCCCCAAAACCATCCCACAGCCCGTGCCTCTTGCTGCGCATTGCGAACAGGGTCGGCGGCACCGGCCGTCAGGCCTTCGCAATCAAAACATCTGGCGTCCTGGAAAAAACGGACCGTGCTTTTTTTGGGCTTCAAGCATTGTAAACGTCTGGGGGCCAATCTCCAGCTTTAAGGCTGTCAGGACGGCTTCTTCCGTGACGGCTCGCACGTTGGTCTGTGACGTCGCGCAAGCCTTTCAACCTTGGGCGATCGCGGCTTTCCATTACCGCAAATTGTTCACAATCGGCGGGCTCCAGGCAGGCCGCCGGCGGCGTCCGAACTTTTTTCGCCCGCAATGAGGTCAACGCCGCGACGACACGGCGTGAACTTGCCGTAGCTGGACATCCAAAGTTCTGAGAAGATAAAGCTTTGGTTTTTGGGGTCCTCTGGAGGCCAATGTCGGGCCATTGGGCCATCAGAAAACGATCCAGGGTGGACCGTCGGTCCCGGGCAAGAGGTCGAGAGGTCTGGGGGCCGTGCCTCGAACATATCGAGCCGCTGGATGTCAGGGTACTCCCCGCTGATTTGGTGTCTGATTCTTCCCACCATTTCTTTAGATGGGGCTCTTGTCGTTCCTCATCTCCTAAGATGGGGTTCTCGTTGTTACTTAGACGGCTCCGAGAGAACACTCCTCATCATCACCTCGTCCTCTTCCTCCTTTTCCCCACCCACTCTCGCTCATACTCAGACTCACTCATCGCTCAGACTCACTCATGCTCAAACTCACTCACACTCTGACTCACTCATCACTCACACTCAAGCTCACTCACACTCAGGCTCCCTCATAGTCAGCCTCACTCGTGATCAGACTCACCCATACTCAGGGCCACTCATACTCAGTCTCACTCACACTCAGACTGACTGACTCACCCTCATACTCACTTACAGACTCACTCACTCTCAGACTCACTCAAACTCAGGCTAACTCACACTTGCATTCCTGTCATACTCAGACTCAGACCCACTCATATTCATACTCACGCATTGAATGCAGGGGTGTCTCGGGGATTTGCTTGTCTCTGCACCCCCGATATCTAATTTTTGGTGGTCCATGCGCACTGCGGTAAAGCAGCCGCGGCATTTGGGCACCCCAAAAAGCAATGGCCAGGGGGTATGGCCACCCCCCCGTCCGCGCCCAGGTTATGGGGATGTCTAAAGCGGCTTGCCCGTTTCTGCGCCCAAAGTTTTCTCGTTTTGTGGCCCACAGCTCACTGCGATCTAACAGGCGTTGCACTTACGCATCCCGCATGGGGAACCGCCAAGGGTGTGAACACTCAACGATTCGCGCCCGATTGTGGGATGTCTCGGGCGGTTGCTTGTATCTCCCGCGAGACTTTTCATTGGTTTGTTGGTTCCACACTCCCTCACTCGCTCACCTCATCCTCTTCCTTCGCTCTCTCATTTTCCCCACTCGTACGCGCTCATTCACACCCAGACCTGGTCATCCATATTCTTCACGATTCAAACTCACTCGTCACATTCAGAGACGCCCATATTCAGACTCACTCATACTCAGACTCGCTCATACTTAGACTTAGCCGTGCTCATATTCACACACTTTCAAACTCACTAGCACCCAAACTACCTCATACTCAGACTCAGTCAGGGTCAGACTCGCCCGCTCTTAAACCTGATCATGCTCAGGATACCGCGTATTGTGGCATACTCAGACTCATATTCATATGCATCACACTCAGACTCAGACTCATTCAAAGTCGGACCCACTCGCATTCAGACTCGCTCGCGCTCAGACTTAATCATACCCAGATTGGCTCGCACTCCGACTCGCTCACGCCCAGACCACTCACACGCATATTCGCTCGCACCGAGGCTCACACGTCGGTGGCTACCGCGATATAGCCAGCGTGGCATTTGAGCACCCCAAATTCCAGCAAGCGCCGTGAGTAGCACGCCGAACAGCGGGTGTTGCAACGCCGTGCGAGCTTGCCTGGGTTGACGCAGTGAGAACGGCAAGAGGATTTTCCCCTCACTGTTACACTTGCTTTTTCCTTTATCTCTCCTGAAAGATCTCAAGGGGAGGACGTCACTGAAGCCGTTGGTGTCGTCGTCGTCGTTGCCGCGCCTGTCGTCTACGCGGACTCGCTCTCACACCCAGATGCCCACAGACAGAGTTCATCAGCGAGACGTGACACGGGGCTATATGAGATGCAGATATGTGGATCTCCACGTCGAGGAATTTCAATGTGGGGTCCCCATTTCCCGAAATACCAACCCCTTGCCCAGGGCAGGTTTCTTATCCCAGAGCTCTTTCTTGGCGGCCCCGGTGGCCCAGCTAGGGCACCATCGGAGGTCGAGAAGCACGCAACACATCCGCACTGCTGTGCACTACCTTAGAGGTCAACATCGGTTCTTCTCCCGCAGCGCAAGGCCGGAGGGAGGGAGGAGGCACGATGACGTGTTCGGCGACGCACTCGTGAAGTCACTGAGCTACCTGAAATGCCGTGCACAACAATTTTTGGGGTTCTTGTGGCCCTTCTTGAGCCTCTGGAAGCCTCTGGGGGCCCCTGGGGGCCTCGGGCTCGCGCCGTGGGAGTACCAGACGAGCACCTGGGATCGAGGAGAGTCAACAATTTGTCTCCGTTTCTGGCGCTGCTTGGGCTCCTGGAAGCCTCCATGGACCCCTGGAGACATCCCTGCTCGGGAGAGGGTGGAGAGGGCCCTCTCCTCCGACGTCGCATCTTTTTCGTGACGCGGGCCCCCAGGGGTCGCGACCCCCTCCTCAGGGCTGGCTTCTCATCCAGAACCATATTCTGGTGTCCCCGAAGGCCAGAAGAAAACGAGAACGCGGAACAACTGGCCGTCGCATATGTTGGGGCGACGTCTGGATCTGCGGGGAGGCGCGGGGGGCTGGGGGTCGCGAGTCGTGCCCCAGACCTGTCCAAAGGGGTACGTTCCGACCAGAATCTCGAGAGGAACCCAGCCGTGGCGACGAGAAGCCTCGTGGAAGGCGAGGAACGGCCAACAAACCTTGATGTTTGTACCTTGAATCTCGAACCTCGGGTCTGAGGGGTGTCATGGTGGTGGGCCCGAGGCTCGGCGCTCGGCGGAAGAATCATCCGCACAGTGACCACCCCATACAGGCGAGGCCCCTTGGCAACCAGCCCAATCTCTCGACTCTCGAGCCTCGGAGCCGAATCTCCAGCCTCGAATCTCGGGCTGCGAGCCTGACATCTCGAATCTCGGACCTCGGATGCCGGAGGGGAGGCGGCCGCGCCTGCCCCAGGGCGGCCATGCCGCTGGTGAATGCGAAGCTCGCTGCGGCGTGGTCGAGCATGGCCACGTGCTTCTCCAGCGCCGTCCTCTCGGCGGCTGCAGCAGGGGCGGATGCCGTCGAAACGTGGCCACAAGAACGTGGATGAAGGGGCCTTGGGTCACACAGATAAATACACACAAATAAAAGGGTTCCCTACATTTTCCTATATTTTCTGGGTTTTGGTCTTCCCCCCCCACACTTCCTATGTTTTCCCATCTTTTCTGGGGAATCGACGATTAACTGTGTCTGTGTGTTTTTTGTCCCCCCTGAGTGGATGAAGAACAGGAGCCTCTCCGCGAGGGGCAAGGCCCCACGGAGCTGCCCCAGACCAAGACCATTCTAGGGGGGAGGGCCTGAGCACGAAGACCGTCAGAGGAGAACTCCTAAGCTTGGACTGCTCTGAACCCTCGTGCCAGCTGAGGGCCCCAGAGTGGCCTCAAGAAGGAGAACGCGAAGGTTCGGTCCGAGCCCTCCACCCCAAGATGGCCCCAAGATTCCCCCAGAGTCGCCCGAGGCGCCCCCAAGAGGCCACGCGGGCCCAAGAGAGGCCTCCGCGGAGCCCTCCAAGATGCCCCCGAAAGGCATCCCAAGAGCCCTACAAGAGGCCCCCGAGAGGCATCATCTCAGAACCTATCATCAATTAGGCCTCTAACCAATGAGCCAGGCACTGTGACGGGATGGGCCGAAGGCCTCTAGATCCGCCGCCCCCTGTGGCGTAAGCTGCGCCCTCCATAGGTACAAGCGCCTCCACGACGGTCTCCAAGATGCCTTCAAGACGGGCGGGGTGGCCCCAAGAAAACCAACCCTGGCCCAAGGTGGCCTCAAAGACGGTCCCAAGATCCCTCCGTGATTGCCAAGGTGGCCTAAGAGAGCCCAAAACGGCCCAAGAAGCGCCCCAAAGGCCCTAAGACGGCACAGGAGGTCTCCACGAGGTTCCCCAGGAAGGTCCGACGAGGTCAACATCATTGATTTTCTGGAGGCTTTTGAAATGGGTTTTGATATTTGCTTCAAAACGGCCTTCCGATGGTCCAAGAGGCCCCCAAGATTGCCCCAAGATCGCCCAAGAGGCCTCCAAGATGGCCCCAAGACGGCCCAAGAGGCTCCCAAGACGGCCCCCGAAGGCCCCCAAGACGGCCCAAGAGACCTCCAAGACGCCCAAGATGGCCTTCAAGACGACTTTGAAGCGCCCCAAGACGGCCCAGAGAGGTTCTAAAGACGGCTTCCGACGGCGTCAGCCAAGCCAGGAACGCCGTAAGGCGGCTAAAAAAACCCAAGAAGCCCCCAAAGAGGCTCAAGGAGGGCCCCCAAGAGGTCTCCAAGAGGCCCCAAAAGCTCCCAAGAGGTCGCCTCATCCTCCTCTTCCTCTCCCACGTGTTCCCCAAAGGGCTTCCACAACGGCTGGGGGAACGTATGGTCCGATAGCGTGCCAAAATTGGCCCAAGCGTTTGGCCACATAGGCGTATCCAACAAGGCAGGGGGCGGCGGTGATTCGCTGTAGGCGTCTTCGATAAGTGGCCCACTCTGGAAATCCTGAATTCAAACATGTTGTCATTTCTTGGGAGGGCAATTTTTACATCCGTCGGCTTCTGCCGGCCTTACGCCGGCGGAGTCACCTTCGAGGTGCCAATTCCTTCGACACTCGGAAGCGAGGTCCGCTTTGGAACGCTTCAAATGTCTTTCCGGCATGCACGTGCGCAATCATGGCGTTATAAGTCGCACTACCACTAAATCGTTGGCAACATGGTCGAGGACACACATTTTTTTTTTTTTTTTTTTTTTTTTTTTCTTTTATTTTTTTTTTAAATATTTTTTTTTTTAAAATTTATATATATATATATATATATATACATAGACAGCATACATATGTATGTATGCATGTATGTATGTATGTATGTATGTATGTATGTATGTGTATATATATCCCACTCATAGAATGCTTCTGTAAGGGGCCTAATGGATTCATATGGATAGGTGAAATCGTCGCCGATTTCGGTGGCCGGTCCGGGTGCCCGGGTGCCCGGGTGCCGTATAGCCTTATAGCCTTGTAGTCCTATGGCCCTATAGCCCTACAGCCCTATAGCCCTATAGCTTTAATAGCCCTATAGCCCTATAGCCAAATAGCCCTATAACCCTATCGCCCTATAGCCTTATAGCCTTATAGCCTTATAGCCCTATAGCCCTATAGCACTATAGCCCATAGAGCCCTATAGTCCAATAGCCTTATAGCCCTATAGCCTTCTAGCCCTATAGCCCCATAGCCTTCTAGCCCTATAGCCCCATAGCCCTAAAACGATTATGATTGGGTTTTTCTCCGGTATCATATACACATACTAGACGGGAAGATAGGACATATGACCAGAGAGGCGAATGTATTGTGAGTGAAAGGGAGGGGGGAAATGCTAGTGGAGAAGGGCAACTTAGGTGCGCTAGCGCCTTATCAGACATCCTACACCACGCGCCCACCCATCCTTTCCCATACCGCTGAATTACTCAGAGTTCAGTTATGTGGTGCTCATGTGTGTAGTGCTCCTTTTGTGTGGTTTCTTCGTGGCGCACATGCCCGCACATGCCCACAGTGCGTTACACGCAAATGCACCTCTGTGCGGGGCAACGCGGGCCCCCTCGCCCCCCCGCCCGTGCTGGCACGTGCCATGCGCTCCCACGAACCAATCTGGCAAGACCGCGGCATGCCGTGCACTCCCGTGCCATCCAAAACTCTTGACCCAAACCGGCACGTGCCCGCACATGCCTTGCATCCTTATGCTGAGATGTACAGCACTTTTATCGTTTCTGTATTTTGTGCGTATCGATTTGGTCAATCAGTCGTGCAGTCGTGATAGCGATTGTTTTGTTCCGCCATTCCGCCCTCACGAACCCGTCCTCCTCCATCCACGTCCTCCTCTATCCTTTTCTCCCCGAACAGCTTCGATCGTCGAGGCCCTCTCTCAGGGGCATGTTGCCCAATTCTTCGAGTCGCCTCCCGTCGCGGCTCGCAGCATGAAACACTGTGCAACATCATCACGACCACATCACCATCCCCCTCCGGGTCTCAAACAAATCTGGTCGCGGCGCACATTTCAGGCACATGCCGGCACAGTATTTGCACAGCTCCCGTCGCCCAATGGCGCATCCTGGATGGACAGACCACACCCTGACCAGAAGACGACGCTGCCGAGGACGATGGGTCTCGGCCATGCTCGCGAGACACCGACTCAGTGACACGCAGAGGGGCCCTGTCGTTGTCACAGCTTCAGCCGGTCGGCTGTCGCACCAAGGTCGGAAATGGGGGGACGGAGGGGAGGGGCGTCTTTCCCAAACCAAACGGGTCTTCCCAAACCAAACTTGGGCTTGGGTGACGTAGGCTTTGGTTTGGGAAGACCCGGAGTGGTTTGGGAAGACCCGGTTCGTTTGGGAAGACCCGGATGTCGGTTTGGGAAGACCCGGTTGGTTTGGGAAGACCCGGTTCGTTTGGGAAGACCCGGTTGGTTTGGGAAGATTCGGGCGCGTGGTTTGGGAAGACCTGGTTGGTTTGGGAAGACGCGGTTCGTTTGGGAAGACCCGGGGAGTTGGTTCGGGAAGACCCGGTTGGTGTGGGACGACCCGGAGGTTGGTTTGGGAAGACCCGGTTGGTTTGGGAAAACCCGGGTTTGGTTTGGGAAGACCCGTTTGGTTTGGGAAGACCCGGTTGGTTCGGGAAGACCCGGATGTTGGTTTGGGAAGACCTTGTTGGTTCGGGAAGACCCGTTTGGTTTGGGAAGACCCGGGGAGTTGGTTTGGGAAGACCCAGAAGTTGGTTCGGGAAGACCCAAATGTTGGTTTGGGAAGACCCGGTTGGTTTGGGAAGACCCGTTTAGGTTTGGGAAGACCCGGGGAATTGGTGTTGGAAGGCCCGGTTGGTTTGGGAAGACCCGGACGTTGTGGTTTGGGAAGACCCGGTTTGTTAGGGAAGGCCTGTGTGAGGTTTGGGAAGGCCCAGGGCTGTGGTTTGGGAAGACGCGGTTGGTTTGGGAAGACCTGGCCGTTCGGTTTGGGAAGACCCTGTTGGTTTGGGAAAACCCGAGTTTGGTTTGGGAAGACCCGTGCCTCGTGGTTCGGGAAGGCCCAGTCGGTTTGGGAAGGCCCGCTTTGTTTGGGAAGACCCGGCCGTTGTGGTTTGGGAATGCCCGTTTGGTTGGGATGACCTGGTTGGGTAGGAAAGACCCGGGGTCGTGGTTCGAAATGACCTGGGGGTGTGGGAATACGTCGGCACTTGGTTCGGGCAGACCCGCTTGGGCAGGGAAGAGGAGAGGAGGAGGAGGAGGAGGAGGAGGAGGAGAAGGAGGAAATGCAGGAGGATGGAGAGGAGGACGAGGAAGAGGAAGGAGGATGGAGAGGAGGAGGAGGAGGACGAGGAGGATGGAGAGGAGGAGGAGGAGGACGAGGAGGAGAAGGAGGACGAGGAAAAGGAGGAGGAGGAAGAGGAAGAAGGAGGAGAGGAGAAGGGGGAGGAGGACGAGGAGGAGGCCTCTACGCCGACCCCATCTAGGAGCCCTGGAGCCCTGGAGCCTGGACCTCGGGAAGCGGCGGATGGGGATGCATTGCAGTCGGTCCCGCCAGGGGCCCGGATATGTCCACAGTCGCCCCTCCCCCTGTGGGTATGGGAAGCGCGGTCTGGAACGGAACGCTTGCCTGGCGAGCGACTCTGAACATGACGGGTTTGACTATGATTGAGTGCGAGTGTGTGTCTGTCTGCGCACGATGGGTTTGCGCAAGAGTGAGTCTGAGTGTGAGCGGGTCTGAGCGTGAGTCCATCCGCGAGTCGGTCTGAGTACGAGCGGGTCCAGTGTGAGGGTGAATGAGTCTGCGTGTGGATGGGTGAGCAGCAGGGACCCCAAGGAGGAGCGGGGCGGGACGGGGCGGGGCGGGGCGGGCGGACCCTAACAGGCGGGTCGGGTCGGGTCGGGCGGGCGGGCCCGAACGGGCGGGTCGGGTCGGGCGGGCGGGACATTCAAATATGGTGCATGATCGAGCCCACGCGCGAGAACCCTAACGGGCGGGTCGGGTCGG